GAAATCCTCTCATGTTTGGTCAGACTCCATCTCAGAAACGACCGAGGCAATCGTCAAAACAAACAACTCCTGAGCTCAGATTGAACCGCGACATCTGCCACGTTTAAACTGCCTGTTGTCGAGATCTCCTTATTTGGCCGTTCGGGGAGCACACTTCCTGATGAGTTTTCGAAATTACGTTTTTTATTAAATGGGAGAGAAAATGTGTTTTGGGGAGTAAAGGTTTCTGCGACATCTGCGAGCCAGCGTGAGGTTTGAATTTTTTTGGGGTTTTTTTCAAAGCCAGGTGCTTTGCTTTGATTTTCTCCTTAACTCATTGACTGCCATTGGCGTATTTGTCTGAGACCCTCTTTTTGACTGGGGATTACAGGACAATAAGAATAGCTAGAAAGAAACTTATTTTTGCTGATGAAATTAGAAAATGCAGATGCTTTCAGAATCTGGTTTCACATTTCACATAATCTTAGGAAATAATATTCTGTGGGTCTTCAGAATCAGTAAAATCATCAACAACGGCAGCAGTCAATGAGTTAAAAAGGCAAACGGCAGAGAGAATTTGGCTGTCACTGCGGCGCATGTATGAGCCCACACAGCTGTTTTTGTACGACAGTAATGGGTATGCAAATGAACGACATGTTTTCAGGGTCTCAGACAAGATTGAGAAGAACAAGACGAGAACGCTGTCACATTTGTCCCGTTCAGAGACGATTCGCAGCTGCCGAAAACCTTTGAGAATCATTAAATCTTTAGACGTGATCAAGAGATTTTCATGGGCGACAGTAGCTCAGTTGGTAGAGCAATGGCCTTTGAGCCAAGTCCTTGGCACAAGACACTTAACCTCTGGGAACACCAGCCACAGTGGGGCGGCTGCAGCTGTAAAGTGCCAAACTGCCGTTGTGTCCTTAGGCAAGACACTTCACCCCTTGCCTGGCCTGCCAGACACTCCTCCTTTCTGTTCAAAAGAAGAACCGTCTGGACACCTCTTCCTAGCCTATCATTTCACGATTTTACCCACATCGGTCCAATCACGCACCGAGAGGCGGGACTTCCTTTCACCTTTGAGTTGCTAATAACTCCTCGTATCTTTACGTTTTTTTTACAAAATCGACAGCAGTCGTTTACATTTGCACTAGCTGACATGCCGCCATCCCTTGTTTTGTGTTTACTGAAACGGCTTGGGTGCCGCTAGTTGCTGCGTCATATCCTGTGTGCATCTAATTGGTTGATGCAGTCTGTCAACCACGCCCACCGGGAATTCGCTGAGATCAAGCTCGTTCCCAAACTATATGTCTTTGAAAAAGCATATCGTTTGGCAGGCCAGGCAACTTCACCCCCATTGCCTAGAATGAGTCTGGTGTGTGTGTGAATGGTTGGTGGTGGCCGGCGGGGCCGATGGCACATACTGGTTGCCTCGCTTCTGTCAGTGTGCCCCAGGGCAGCTGTGGCTACAATAGTAGTTTATCACCACCGTATTTGGAGTGAAAGAATAATGACACATGTGAAGCATCTTTGAGTGTCCAAAAAAGCGCTATATAAAACCAATGCATTACTATTATTATTTAATGGATACATACTTTAAAGTATTTTGACAGAAGTAATGATGGTGTTTTGAGGATCTCAAGCAAAAGTTTCAAAGACAAATCCATATCTGAACTCCACTTCAGCGCCTCCTGTTTGTTGTTCCCCAGTTATAATGTCTTTCAATGTAAGTATTTATTTTTGGACATTCAAAGAAGCTTCACATGTCAATTTTCATTCACTGGGGGCCACAGCTGCCCTGGGGCACACTGACCAAAGCGAGGCAACCAGTCTGTGCCATCAGCCCCTCCCACCACCACCAATCATTCACACACACACCAGACTCATTCTAATGTGGGGGAAGTGTCTTGCCTAAGGACACAACCACAGTTTCGCACTTCACAGCCACAGCCGCCCCACTGTGGCACCTGCTGTTTCAGATTCAGATTCAGATTCCGTTTATTTGCCATTTGCAGTAAAAAAAAAACCACATTGGAATACATTAGCAAAAGTCACCAGTGTGCACAGACAAATACAGACATAAAACAACATTAAAAGTACGGAAATAAAATAAATAAAACAGTAAACAAATGTCACTGTGAAATCGATTATTATAGAGGTGCAACGGTTCATCACTGATCCGTGATCCGTTCGGTTCAACGTCTTCGGTTCGGTACAGACGTGATCCGCGGTTTGATTTATGAAAAAAAAGTTGTGCGCACGTTGTTCAGTCCACACACAGCGCGGTCATTGCGAGCGGAGGAACGGAGATGCTTGAAAGCCCTGCGTCATTTAAATCCCCAGTATGAGAGCATTTTGGCTTCACTGTAACTACACTGATAATTAATATTCGACAAAACTGTCACGATGTGTAAGCACTGTGGCACAAGAAAGACATGAGTGAAAAAAGCGTCTCAACGACCGCTTATTGTCGCGGCATTTAAGCAGCTCCTTTACGCACAGTCAGACCGGGCTAAAGTCAACTCTCCCGCGCATCCTCAGCTGCGCTCACGACTGACGCTTGGACGTCCCGCGGAACCTATAATAGATCCATGAGCGGAACCGCTCACTTCATCACCGCAGACTGGGAGATGAAAAGTCTGGCGCTGCAGACACGCCCCCTCTACGACAGTCACACAGTCACACAGCGCAGGTACTGACACAAGCAGCGGAGGAATGGAAGACAAAGGCCCAGTACTAATATCCCAGTCACAACTGATAATGCCAAAAATTAAATAAATGCAGTGAATGAGGCTGGGCCCAGAATGGACCCCCTCCTCGGGAGAATCAGGAAGGTGGTTTAATATATGAGGGTAAATATCCTCATAAAGTGCCTTCTTATGTTGCACTTTGTGTTGTTTTTCATTAATTATGTTAAATAGACATAATTGGATGGATGGAATATGCCATCCATCCATCCATCCATTTCCTTCCCCTTAATTCATTTCTAGGTCAGGGGGGGCAGTCAGAGCAGGTGCCGAGTCCACATGAGCTGTGTTTATTAAAAAGACAACACTTTTTTTTTGAAAAATGAACCGAAAAATGAACCGAACCGTGGCCTCTGAACCGAGGTACGAACCGAACCGTGATTTTTTCAAACCGTTGCACCCCTATTATATTATTGATTGACTGCGGAACCTTCCGCAGTCAACCATTGGTTTTGTATTTCTTTATTCCGTCATTTTTTTTGACACGTTTCACAGCTTTCACATTTTCAACAATTTCCACAAGTTATACATCAAAACGTTCCACATGTTTGGGAGATTATTGCTATTACTTTTGGGACTTCAGCGATTTCCGGTTTTTCCGCAATCGGACAAAAATCTGCATTGAGAATTCTGCAATGCATTTTAATAGGCCCATGCATTTTAATAGGACTTCAGCTCTTTCAGACATTTCTACAGTTTCAATGATTCAACAGTTTCAAGGATTCAACAGTTTCAAGGATTTCAGCAGTTTCAAGATTTCAAGAGTTTCAAGGACTTCAACAGTTTCAAGGACTTCAGCAGTTTCAAGGACTTCAGCAGTTTCAAGGACTTCAGCAGTTTCAAGGACTTCAGTGTAATCATGCAACCTAATAGGGATTTTTCCATGTAAACCAGTATAATGCAACTTAATAGGGATTTTTCCATGTAAACCAGTATAATGCAACTTAATAGGGTTTTTTCATGTAAACCAGTATAATGCAACTTAATAGGGGTTTTTTCCATGTAAACCAGTATAATGCAACTTAATAGGGGTTTTTACATGTAAACCAGTATAATGCAACTTAATAGGGTTTTTTCCATGTAAACCAGTATAATGCAACTTAATAGGGTTTTTTCCATGTAAACCAGTACAATGCAACTTAATAGGGATTTTTCCATGTAAACCAGTATAATGCAACTTAATGGGGATTTTTCCATGTAAACCAGTATAATGCAACTTAATGGGGATTTTTCCATGTAAACCAGTATTATGCAACTTAATAGGGATTTTTCCATGTAAACCAGTAATAATGCAACTTAATAGGGATTTTTCCATGTAAACCAGTATAATGCAACTTAATGGGGATTTTTCCATGTAAACCAGTATTATGCAACTTAATAGGGGTTTTTACATGTAAACCAGTATAATGGAACTTAATAGGGGTTTTTACATGTAAACCAGTATAATGCAACTTAATAGGGATTTTTACATGTAAACCAGTATAATGCAACTTAATAGGGATTTTTCCATGTAAACCAGTATAATGCAACTTAATAGGGTTTTTTACATGTAAACCAGTATAATGCAACTTAATAGGGATTTTTCCATGTAAACCAGTATAATGCAACTTAATAGGGTTTTTTACATGTAAACCAGTATAATGCAACTTAATAGGGGTTTTTACATGTAAACCAGTATAATGGAACTTAATAGGGGTTTTTACATGAAAACCAGTATAAAGGATAACAGTTTAAAGGATATCAGGAGCTTCAAATACTTCAGGAGTTTCAAAGATGTTTAAAGTATTTTAACAGTTTCAAGGATTTCAAGGATTTTTCAGCTAAATTCCACATTAGATCTGTTCCGCAGTCAATCGCAATGGCTTCAGCCATTGCAACGGTTTCTAGTTATTATTATTTCTGGTCTGCCTTCTTTGGGTGTGGCGGCCCTTTCCCAGGCTCCTTATCTATGGTCTCCAGGGAAAGCACAGAAAGTACCATAGAAAGTTAATTCCCTCGATAGAAATAAGAAAAAAACAATCTTGATAAAAAAAGTTCTTAAAACAGTTAATAATAATTGATTTTTGGTCTTACCCCAAATCCCCCGGTCTCTGTGCGGATCCTACTGATGGCGATTGCATCAGTTCTCGTGCGGCTGCAGAATATCTACAAAAAACCCACAATAATATCTTTGAGTTTGGAGACAATTGAAAAGTTTCCAGAGCGTCACGGCCTCACCTGGTGTCAGCGTCTCACCTGGTATCAGCGTCTGCATCTCTGTCTCCGAGGCTCATAATGGAAGAACTCTCCTCCATCATGTTTGGGCCCGGGTTAGACCTGGTTCAGTCCTGAATTTGTTCTTGGTTGAAGGTTAAATCCAGATGTAGTTTATAAATTATTTTTTAATTAGTGCTTTAATTAACTTTGATTGTCCGACATTTATGGACTATTATCTTATCATTTATCTAGTATCTATCTATCTAACTGTAATACATGTATCAGGCCTGAGGTGGCGCTGTGACACAGAAGCTCAGAGGAAGAGATGACATCATGCTCTGCTCATACATCCTGGAAATGGATCTTAGTCACAGTTCCCTCTTGATTTAGTCAAGTCAATCGGTCTCGTCTTTTCTGTATTTCTAACCAAACTTCGGAGGTCTTTATTCGCCGTTGTTCATTTTGAGGCTGACCATCATCGGTTCTAAAACTTTCCGAGTTTTGTAGCAGCACATCGGACACCGTGACAGAAAACATTATTCAATCCGTCTGAATGTCAGGCCCGAGGCGACCGGCTGGAAAAACAATCTTTAGTCTTTCAGACGTCCTCATGGTGCACTGCCCCCACTGCAGCCGGAGTCGTCTCTGAGAAGGAGGAGGAGAAGGAGAAGAAGAAGGAGGAGGAGGAGAAGGAGAAGGAGGAGGAGGAGGAGGAGGAGAAGGAGGAGGAGTAGAGGACTCCCAGTCCACCTGGACCACAGACTTTACTGGTCAGCTCAGGCCAAGGTCAGAGCAGACTTTTCTTCCTGAGAAGACTGAGGTCCTTTGATGTGAGGAGTCAAATGTTGCACATATGTTTCCACTCCGAGGTAGCTTGTGCCGTGTTCTTCGGGGTCAAGTGTTCTTCGGGGTTGCGTGTTGGTGTTGGGGGCAATCTGTAGCTAATGCCGTGTTCTTTGGGGTCACGTGTTGGGGACAGTCTGTAGCTAATGCCGTGTTCTTTGGGGTCCCGTGTTGGGGGCAGTCTGTAGCTAATGCCGTGTTCTTTGGGGTCACGTGTTGGGGGCAGTCTGTAACTAATGCCGTGTTCTTTGGGGTCCCGTGTTGGGGGCAGTCTGTAGCTAATGCCGTGTTCTTTGGGGTCACGTGTTGGGGGCAGTCTGTAACTAATGCCGTGTTCTTTGGGGTCACGTGTTGGGGGCAGTCTGTAGCTAATGCCGTGTTCTTTGGGGTCACGTGTTGGGGGCAGTCTGTAGCTAATGCCGTGTTCTTTGGGGTCACGTGTTGGGGGCAGTCTGTAGCTAATGCCGTGTTCTTTGGGGTCACGTGTTGGGGGCAGTCTGTAACTAATGCCGTGTTCTTCGGGGTCACGTGTTGGGGGCAGTCTGTAGCTAGTGCCGTGTTCTTCGGGGTTGCGTGTTGGGGGCAGTCTGTAGCTAGTGCCGTGTTCTTCAGGGTTGCGTGTTGGGGGCAGTCTGTAGCTAATGCCGTGTTCTTTGGGGTCACATGTTGGGGGCAGTCTGTAGCTAATGCCATGTTCTTTGGGGTCACGTGTTGGGGGCAATCTGTAGCTAGTGCCGTGTTCTTTGGGATTGCGTGTTGGGGGCAATCTGTAGCTAGTGCCGTGTTCTTTGGGGTTGCATGTTTGGGGCAGTCTGTTGCTAGTGCCGTGTTCTTCAAAGTTGCGTGTTGGGGACAGTCTAATGCAGGGCATCCTGGGTAACTCCAGACACCCTCTGCATGACACTATGGCCGCTCAGAGGAGTAACCGTAGCAACAGGCTCCTATCACTACGCTGCCAAATGGAACGTTTCAAGAGATGCTTTGATCCTTCGGATGTCAGACTGTACAACAAACCTGGATGAGTCTTCTGCTGCTGCACACCTGAATATCTCATACGGGGATCAATAAAGTATCTAAATCTATCTATCCATCCATCCATCTATCCATATAAGGTTTCTTTATATAGCACAGTTTTACAGATCAAGGTCACCTAAAGTGCTGTCCACTAGGGGGACACACAACACGTTTTCAAGAAAATTAATATCTATAAATGTAAATGTTGTAAAATAATTGATTTGATTGAAATAATGCAGATTATTTACAAAAAAACTAGATCTCTTTGATCTTAAGTACATTTCCTGATACTTTTCTGCGGCCTCTGAACTGTAATTACTGATTATTTATGTATTTTCTGATTTTTCCTCTTTACCGCGGTGGAAGGAGATGCTCGGGACATTCCTGACTCTTCTGTCTTTTTACTGCAAACATAATCATCTAAAGAATTGATGAAAAACCTCCCGCAGTCGAGAAAAGCTGAAGTGATCCATGTTTTATTCATCGCTCACATCTTTGGAGCTGTAGATTTCACACAAATTAATTTTTAATCATCCGTCTACAAAGTTCCTCTGGGATCGTGAGGAGTCGTGGAATCCCAGCCATGACACATTTTCAGGAAAACAATATCGTTCAGACAGATTTAGGACTTGTAGGTTTCTGAAACTACTGTAAATCTGCTTTTTTAGTCATTTATAAGGGTTTTACCCTTTACTCACTTTTATATAAACTGGTGAAAAACTGAAATACAGTAAAGCTGTTTGTAGAGCGGCTACATGCTAACGGCTGCTATAGGGTTAGCCTCTGGGAACATGGGGTCGCACAGTGCGGCAGTCTCTCTCTCTCTGGTCTCTCTCTCTGGTCTAACTCTGATCTCTTTCTGGTCTCTCTCTGGTCTCTCCCGAGTCTCTCTCTAGTCTCTCCCGAGTCTCTCTCTAGTCTCTCTCTCTGCTCTAACTCTGGTCTCTCTCTGGTCTCCCTCTGGTCTCTCTCTGGTCTCTCTGGTCTCTCTCTGGTCTCCTTCTGGTCTCTCTCTCTGGTCTCTCACTGGTCTCTCTCTCTGGTCTCCCTCTGCTCTCTCTCTTTCTCTAGTCTCTCTCTCTCTCTGTCTCTCTTGTCTTCTCACTTTTCCCCACTATATATATTTGACTCATTCCTTTCCAAGGCAGGACGGTCCAAGGACAGTGATCCGGGACATTTAAGCAAATTTACTAAAGTTTCTGGACCGTGGTATCATCCCGCTCCCTGTGGACCCAGTTTGTTATTTTTGCATTTCCTGTGTTTTGAGACGTCTGCTGCTGTGATTTAGGGCTATACAATAAGATACATTTCCGTGTCTTGAGTCGCAGCAGGAGAGAGACGGACTCAGAGGAATTAGCATCGCGTGAGTCTCTGAGGACGCAGTGTCAGAGCCTCAAACATGTGTCAAACCAGGACCTGTGTGGAGCTCATTCTGCTGACGGGAAACGTGGGGAAAGATGCTGACGGAGAAGCTGTCGTTTGCTTTCATCACTTAAAGATTAACCCCGCAGGCGCCAACGCAGCAGAATACAGAACATTTTCTTTACAGGGACCTGGCTCCTCACAAACGATTCCCTACATCTTCATTACATGTTTTTGTTTCATGGTTTTAGTAGTTCTCCTATTCACTATAAAATCTAGAATATGCAAAACAAAGAGGCAATGGAGAGAGAGACAGAGAGAGACCGAGAGGAAGAGAGGCAGAGAGAGAGGCAGAAAGAGAGAGAGGCAGAGAGAGACAGAGAGAGAGAGAGAGATACAGAGAAAGAGGCAGAGATATGACTGAGAAAGAGACAGAAAGCGAGAGAGACAGAGAGGAATAGAGAGACAGAGATACAGGGAAAGAGGAAGAGAGAGATAGAAAGACAGAGAGAGACACAGAGGCAGAGAGAGACGGACAGAGAGAGAGACAGAAAGACAGAGAGAGAGGCAGAGAGAAAAGCGCAGAGAGAGAGGCTGAGAGAGACACACAGAGAGAGAGAGACACAGACAGAGGACAGAGAGAGACACAGAGAGACAGGTACACAGACAGAGCGAGACAGAGAGAGAGACAGAAAGAGAGAGACACAGAGAGAGAGAGAATTATGTCCTAAAGAGTGGTTGAATATTCCCTTTAAACATGTAGAGACTGATGCAGATGAAAAAAGGCTCCTGCTTCAGCTCTGTCTCCAACTGTCGGAAAATCACATTCTCATAATGTTGAATAAGTGAAGATTTGGAGGGATTTTACAGATCACCACACACTGCAAAAAGTGATGTCTCTTAATTTGACCACATTCTGACTGAGCCTGAAAACTAGATTCTCCAACGGGACAAAGCAACTTTAACTGGTTTTAAAAAGATTCAGAAATGTCTCTTTGGAAAATCTTGTTTTAACGCAGTCAGAATGTGCTCAAATAAAACAAAGATCTCATTTTGTCACCTCATTTTGTCATTTTTTTTGCAGTGAACATTGCACTTTTCTGAAAAAAACCATTATTATGTTTTTTTTTTCTTACAAGTTCAAACTAGTTATTGTTTTTTTACACACTACAAAACCTAATGATATAACGGTGGATTTCTCTGCACATGATACAGCTGCAGAGAGAGAATCCAGAGACAGCTGAGTCGTGGCCCCGGGGACTCGCGCTCGGGGGAGAAACCCTTGTTCCCATCAGAAATGTGAGAATTATCCTTCTCAGAAAATCTCAGTCCGGACTTCAGTTGGTGTGTGTGTGTCGTCAGTTGGCGTGTGTGACGTCAGTTGGTGTGTGTGACGTCAGTTGGTGTGTGTGTGACGTCAGTTGGCGTGTGTGACGTCAGTTGGCGTGTGTGACGTCGGTTGGTCTGTGTCTAGGTCAGTTGGTGTATGTGACGTCAGTTGGTGTGTGTGTGACGTCAGTTGGTGTGTGTGACGTCAGTTGGTGTGTGTGACTTCAGTTGGTGTGTGTGACGTCAGTTTGTTGTGTGTGACGTCAGTTGGTGTGTGTGACGTCAGTTGGCATGGGTGACGTCAGTTGGCGTGTGTGACGTCAGTTGGTGTGTGTGACGTCAGTTGGCGTGTGTGACGTCAGTTGATGTGTGTGACGTCAGTTGGCGTGTGTGACGTCAGTTGGTGTGTGTGACGTCAGTTGGTGTGTGTGACGTCGGTTGGTGTGTGTGACGTCATTTGGTGTGTGTGACGTCAGTTGGTGTGTGTGACGTCAGTTGGCGTGGGTGACGTCAGTTGGTGTGTGTGATGTCAGTTGGTGTGTGTGACGTCAGTTGGTGTGTGTGACGTCAGTTGGCGTGTGTGACGTCAGTTGGCGTGGGTGACGTCAGTTGGTGTGTGTGACGTCAGTTGGTGTGTGTGATGTCAGTTGGTGTGTGTGACGTCAGTTGGTGTGTGTGATGTCAGTTGGTGTGTGTGACGTCAGTTGGCGTGTGTGACGTCAGTTGGCGTGTGTGACGTCAGTTGGCGTGGGTGACGTCAGTTGGTGTGTGTGATGTCAGTTGGTGTGTGTGACGTCAGTTGGTGTGTGTGACGTCAGTTGGCGTGTGTGACGTCAGTTGGCGTGGGTGACGTCAGTTGGCGTGTGTGACGTCAGTTGGCGTGTGTGATGTCAGTTGGTGTGTGTGACGTCAGTTGGTGTGTGTGATGTCGGTTGGTGTGTGTGACGTCAGTTGGTATTGGTGACGTCAGTCGGTGTGTGTGGTCAGTTGGTGTGTGTGTCGTCAGTTGGTGTGTGTGTTGTCAGTTGGTGTGGGTGACGACGGTTGGTGTGTGTGACGTCAGTTGGTGTGTGTGACGTCGGTTGGTGTGTGTGACGTCAGTTGGTGTGTGTGACGTCAGTTGGTGTGGGTGACGACGGTTGGTGTGTGTGACGTCAGTTGGTGTGTGTGACGTCAGTTGGTGTGT